CACTAGTTTTTCCAGCGCTTTCATTTTTGAACAGTTTGCACCAGTCCTCCGTTCATTATTTAGCTGCCTGTACGCATGGAATGGAGAACACAGAGGCAGGGCAATTAGGATCTGTTGGCTTATATTTCAAGATACATATTTTTTTTTTTTTTTTTTTATTTAAGTGAGGGCGAATTTTTTTTATTGATTGTAATCATGAATAGTGTAGTACGAAACTGTTGGAAACAAAATTCGTGATTTATAAATGCATTAACATAAAATGTTATTCCTAGATTAATATAACGAAACGATTATTTTCTTACGAGATTATCTGTAACAAGTTGTGGCTCTTAAAACCTCCTACAGAATCTGAGTAATTAAGTGCCAAGGCCGTTCCCTTGTGGGAGGCAATTTTTCGTTGTTTTAAATGCAAACTCAGGCCTTTACCGGGGTCCGTAATATAGCCTAACGGTTGAACACCTTTTGTTTTTGGGACCTCTCCACGGGTGATCCTCATCCGCATGGTGGCACTTTGCGTCATCATGTGTATATAGCTCTGTGTGAGGTTCTGGCTAGGTAAACTTACTACTACTACAGAATCTGAGCTGCAATAATAGTAAACGGTTTGTAAATAAAATCTTCCACTTATTACGTATCTTGCTTTGCTTTTTCCCACAGAGGTCTGTACTAACAGAATCAGATACAAACGGCCTGGATGGACCATTACAGAACGTACATGGTCTGTCTATGGCAGTAGGAGAACCAGCGGTTAGTGCATCTAATGTAAGTTTTACAATTGAATATTCTGTATATTGTAGTGTATCTACCAGTACTAGAGCTCGTTTGATGTAATCCTTCTTACTTTTCAATGTGACTAACCACAGGTCATATACTTTGACTGCTTTTCCCGTTACATTCAGCAATATAGATCGCTAGTTTGTTTGTTGGTTTTAGTATCCAGAAGCCATGAGTTGTTAACCCTTACGCTCGGATATCGCAACCTTTCGGCCTTGATTCCATTGTAAATACCGTAAATCTGGAAGAAATGTGGCTTTTCTGTCGGTCATCGCGCAATCCGGTTTAGCCAACTACGCTAGAGAGCCGGGCTTATATAGATCGCTAGTTAAACCCCTTTTGCCTCAGTTAAAAATAAACATGTTTATCTGTTCTTTTTTTTTTTTTTTTGGTAATAACTATGACTTGTCCCATGAGTGTATGTCTTATGCCTTATGGAGTGCGAAATAATTCCAGGAACGAAGATATAAATAGAAATAAGCTGCTGGAGTGGGTTCATGGTGGTTGTGTGTTTTTAACGTCATGGTCAAACCTGAACATACTTGATTCATTGCAGGCCGTGATCTATATAGAATGTTTTTTAAACAAAACAAAACAAACAAAATGAACTTATTGACGCGTTTCTTGTTCCATATATCAAGGTCTGGCTGTTCAGAAGTTAAGTCTGCATTAAAAAACAAATGGCCAAAACATGGTGCACGTTGATGTTTTAAACAAAATAGATTCATCGTAATTTGAAATTTAAAGAAAGAACAAAAACTATGCATGTTAAATTTCAAAATTAGAAGAGGGAAAATGTATGCCAGATTAATTGAAACAAGACTGTCGTCATGGTATGCCCGCTTATCTGTATAAGAAATGACAGACCTTGAAATTGTTACTGAACTTACTAATTTATGTTGGCTAATCTATGACTTCATGCATATTGTTCTATGCTAGTTTGATGTACTAACCAAGTCTAGTTTGCTTGTACTAATTATTCTTCTGTGCAATGCCATGTACGGGTGTAATCGAAATGATACCTTGCACTGCTTTCATTGATTTCTATTTATTAATATAACTGTATTTTTGCTTTCCTTTCTTTTGTATCGCAGGTTTTCGTCACAACTTTGAGTCGCAACTCATTAAACATTACCGTTATTTATAACTTTCTAGAAAAACTGCTAGCTAGTGATAAGATTCCCAGATTTAATGATAAGTTGAGAGACGTTATGTCTGCAACTTTGGCGGTGCAATGCAGAATAAAGATAACTAGTCAGGCCGTCGCTTCTAATTTTACCATGGAAGAGTCACAGAAAAATAATGAAACCACAACAGCTGACTACGAGGAGTTTAATAATCTTAAAGAAGCAGTTAATCGACAGTCATTGCCCCTGAATGACGAGAGGCGCTCAATGTTAATGGGGTACAGGTTTGCCCGCTGGGTACAACTGATGATGAGCATCTTGAAAGAAGCCCTAGAGGCACAGAACAGATCTCTGGAGCACTGATAGGTACTTTTTGTTTTACCGAACCAAGCACCACAAATACCCAGCACCCTAATGACTGGTATTGCTTTCTACGCTTATCGTTTTAATTTGTTTGTGTTTGCTGGTGATGGTGCTTGCTTTCAGTGTTTTTGTAATTTATGTTCCTGTCTGCACAAAATGACATCTACTCTTTATAGAATGAGCAGCGCTCTTTAAAGAAACATATATCTCTAATTTGTGGCACTATTTCGAAGACCGCAGATTTGAGCATGCATATCACGTTGTTTTTTAAGATCTATTTTCTATTTCTCACAACGGAAATGTTTGAAAACGATATTGTACTGTAAATAATTCTTTAGATTGCATGGGGTGTGTTGTGATAGTAGGATTGAGGATTGAACAACAGATCAACACGGGTAATAACTTATAAGTGCTCCGTCTTCTAACTCAGGTTTGAGTTCGAAGAAGCACAGCACAGTGCAATGGCTCTGTAGCACCGGCGAGGATCCTGAAATACTTTGGGTAGACTTTTAACTCCAAATTTAGCCCGGTTGGCTATTTTTTTCGATTTGCAACTGCCAAGAGACAGTTTACTTGAGCAGCAATGCACATGGGCGTCTGATCTTACTACCCAGAGACAAGGAAAAATTGCTAGAAGTCCAAGTACACGTGAAAAAAAAATCCCAGCCCTTGCCGGGGATTGAACCCGGAACCTCTAACACTCGAGATGGACACCATGCCTCGAGGCCTTTCACTTGCCACTAATTTAATTGTTTAGATGATGTAGTGCATGTAATGGAGGAATAGAGGAAGACAACGAGAGAAGATGCTTGACAGTCTTGTTGCATGGCATGGAGGTCTGTCGGCACACGAACTGATACATGCTGCAGGAGATCGCAGATTATGGAGAGGCATGATCGCCCACGCCAGTCGGTAAAGCACCTGAAGATGATAAAATGCATCCTTTTTTTTAATTGCATTCAACAACGCACTGCTTTAATGCTGAACTGAAATAATTATTTATTAATGGATAACTATTAAAACTACTGAAATAATATTTGCAGTTATTTCATTATACATATTATATAGAGACAATTTCTTTACGAGATTCATCATTATCATCTCCTTATTAGAGATCAACTACATTATGAATATCAACAGCTGTTGTTCTGCTTCATCATTGTGCATTCATACCTGCTTACCCCAGTCCATAGCTTGATTTTGTCCACGTACTTGCAAATTACTACAGATAAAATATTACATCAGTTTTTACCTTTATTTTAGCCCAGTAATAATAATTGTCTATTGTCTTTTTCAATGAGGCCGTAGTGTCTCAGTTAGTTTACGGGGATCTTATTAAGGAATGTTCTCTTGTCTGCTTTTATGTTTTTCTTCTTCTTCCATGGTGTTAAACAAAGTTTTCTGTACAATAACACTTTGTAAGCTTTACAGTCGCCCCTAAAATTATTTCAATTAAGGAAGAGTAAATATTCCACTTGCTGGTTCCAATTGCCTGTTATTAAACTGTAATTAGTTTCATGATTATGTAAGTATATCACATGTATCTCAAATCACGGTTCTTGTTTTATTAATCGGTAACCTAACACTTCGAGAAAATCTGCCCCAACAGACACAAAGTTTTTTTTTTTTTTTTTTTTAAATATCTTGGTCCACAGTATTGTAAAAACTGTTCTGCCACATTTAATTTTAAATTCATCAATGCTATTCTTTACTGACTCTAGATAGACCTAGAACCATTTATCATATTAATTAATTTTGAATTCACACCCGACAAGCAGTTGAAATGTATTTTTCAAACACCAGTGCTTTATATTCCTGGCATATGCATGGTAAACTGCACATAACGCAAATAGACATCGCTTTTTAAAATGCCAGTTATTTATATGTACAACTGACTCATTTGGTTCATAATTTATAAACTGATAATTGTATTGTAGGTCATTCTTAATAACAAATCATACATGCAAGCTGAAAAGTCTCATTCCAGTATCAATGCTTTGTGTCCCAGGCATAGACTTCTTAAATAGCACACAACACAAGTATTACGTTTTCAAAATTATAAAGTTATATTATAAAAATATTACCAACAAGCAAAAACATTCCTTTGGTGCTTGTCACGGCGTTAGGAGGACAGATCGGAAACAGAAAACAAGTGGGTTCATAGTCTAGTAATCTAGAACCAAGGAAACCCAATGGCTAGAATGACCTGCCTGTTCTTTGGTCATGTATTCAAATCCATTTCGAGGGAAGAATTCAGTTTAAAAACTGAACTGGGAACCAAGGTTAATTCGGTCTGAAAATTTATTTCAAGTAATATCACATACACTCACGCACAGAGTAAAGGACCCTTTTCCACCTCCTTAGGCGCAGTTGGCATACTATATCTATATTTTATAGACCGATATGATAAGATAAGAATAAACTCCACAGGAGAGCATGTACAGCAGGAGTCTACTAATCATCGTAGAAGTAATCTCTCGTCGACAAATGTTTCGCTTCTCAGACCAGCCGCTAAGTCACTGTATTTCTCGAGCTTATACATATGGCTTTCGTTCAGGCAGATCAACCGCCAGTAACCAGTCCCTCGCACAGTCTAGCACAGATGGAGCGTATGCGACTTTGTTGAATTTCCCTTTGTGAATATTAACCATGGTGCGGTGTAAGTTGATTTACACAAAAATGAAACCAGCACCGCGTGCATAATATTCTCAAGCCGGAGATTCTAGGGTTCTTGGCTTAATAGTTCATAGCCCAGATTGTCTGTTTTACATTGTTAGCCAGTTTTATACGAGAATAAGCAATAATTCTCTGACGTTTTGGCTTGTACGTATTTGTAATTAGGTAATATTTATATATACATACAATTTCTATTAATTGCATGAATAATTAAAATACACACACACACGTATATATATATATATATATATATATATATATATATATATATATATATATATATATATATATATATATATATATATATAAGCTAATATTTAAATTAATTTTGTGAGATACGAAAGACATTTAATCATTTCTCTTCTAACATTTAGACTTTTTTCCTGTCATTCCTTTCAGAACGTGACCTCACTCCAACAGGATTACCAAGATATCTCTACCTACATTATGTATCTACAGTTTTTCAAAACTTTACAGACGGCAACAGATAATGGCCAATTCACTGAAGGAATTGATAATGTTAAAAATCAGTTTTACGCCTGGTTGTGCAGAATAGATACCACCCTGAGAGCTCAAAACAAGCCCATGACCCAGTTCGTGGATAATTCAGCTGTTAATGCCGATGTAAAAACGTATGCCACAAATGGAGACAAGAAAAATCGGTATAGTTTATATTATGTGGCCATGAAGAACGCCCACGATTGTATTCAAAATAAAAACCTGAAATGGGCTACATTTCTGCAAACATTAAATTAATGATTTAAATAATTTAACTTTATAGTAATTTACATTTTTTTAACGGATAGATCAATATTGTACATTTAGTATAAATATGTTATGCATGATTATATTTATTTCTTCTTCCTCTTCTTTTACTTTTTCATCTTCATCGTTTTTCATCTTCACATATGCTTCCAGCCAGCTCACCTCCAACCCTACTTTCATTCATGCCCTTACTATCATTTATTCTCTCTTCTGCGAGTTTTCATGTTTCTACACATTTCCTTTGATGTGCTGTTTTTTTTTTTTTTTTTAACAACCAGTTTAATCTATCAGAATGATTTTCAACATATTTGTCAACATTTTCGTATTTTATTTAAGACCACCAAAAAGATGTTGTATTATTCATACTGCATTTTTCTTCTGTGTGACATACAATGTCATCATTATTGTCTACGCAAGTCTTTTACATATACATATCAAGATCTTAAAGTGGAATTTATTTTGTATTTTATCTCGTACTTGTTAAATCACCACAAAAAGAAAAGCATTATATTTCATTGACGAAGAAAGATCTGTGATAAGACTTTGTTTACTATATCCGTTTTCAAATTTCTCTCGGTGCTCTGTGTTTCTTATCCTGTCACTACAGACAGTGTAGATCTGTCGGTTTTTCTTATTTCAGTTAATTCATTATCCTAACATTTATTAGATATAATTGAAATCTAATTTTTAATACGAAATTATGTTTGTTTAAATATAAATCAGTGGAATGGAGATGTAAATAATGAATATTTGTAAATAACGTGATTATTTAAAACAAACAATTTTATTTGTATGCGTATTTTGTATTTAATTTATTACAATGTTAAAAATGTTTCTTAGTGGTCATACATTGTCTTTCCACATAAAGCGTTTACACTAAGTAAAAAATAAAAGTAATATTACATAAGGATGACTTTTTCAGAATAATCATTTTAATACTATCTATAACTATTTTAGCATTTACACTAATGATTTTTTTAAAAAAATCAGGTTCATTGGCGCCTTATTATTTTTTTTTACAATTACATGTTTTTTAAACTGTCGTGAATCTGTCATAAAAGTGTTGAACAATTCTGGCATATCACATCTGCGTTTTAATAGTTGAATATACCGTGGTTTCAGTTTATCAGTTTTAGCAAACTAAGTGCAAGTATTTAAAATATTTAAATTCAGACGTAAATACTTTTTAATAATTATGTATTCCTGTTTTACAATATTATTACGGGCAATAATTTTTTTCTGAGACGCCATCATTATACAAAGTTTGATAAATAATTTCGTATTTTTGAATACAAAGAGTAGAGGTGGGTCCAGGGGCCATATTTAGAAATACCAGACATAAAGAAAAAAAAAATCCAATTATAAACATACCACCCAGATTTCCTCGTAACATGATATTCTTGTGAGATTATCTAAGAATATAAACGCCTCCGGCCAGACATACCCACTGAAGCCCTAATATCAGTATCTAAATGTGCATGTTGAGGATGGTTATTCGTTTTGCTATTTTGTGAGCTCAAGGACCAAACTATACAGCAATTTTACACCCTTTTTGCAGGTCAGTAAAATATGCTAGAGGGCCAGTTTTGGCCGGCGGTTCGTAGTTTTCCCTTCCCTGAATTGGAGAGAACATCATTACATGATCTGACATTCGTGTTTTCAGTGTGTTACTAATCAAAATATTATCTGCCATAAAACTATTATTTTATTCTTCTATATATAGAATTGTGAATTGTTGTAACCTGTGCATATGTGACGTTGATGGATTTTTTTTTTTCTCAGGAATGACAAAACATTGCTTTGATTGTAATATTTTATTTATGAATTCAAACTGTCCTTGTTTTCCTAAAACGTAAAATATTTCCATAATTATAATTTCCCTTTATTTCAATAGCTTGAGAATCAATAACCGTCTTTTCACAGCTGGCGTTTGAAACAGAGTGGACATACTTTTTATCACTTATTGTTATTTGAAGAATATATATATATATATATATATATATATATATATATATATATATATATATATATATATATATATATATATATATAGGCCCTTTGCCTTGGCTAGCAGCTGGTCTAGGAGGGAAGCTCCGACATGCGTACAGACAGAGCACTGCTCTCCTGATCCGGCAGCTTCTGCAGCTGCCTTGTTCCAAACGTACTGGTTATACCTTTCCTTTGGAGTAAATAAGGCAGGTCGAGGAATGATTATGCATATGCAACATATAGTGTCTACAATACTGCCCAGGCTTTGCATTATGGCTTTTCCTGACACATGCGGGTCTTGCTAGTCACACTCGCCATCGCCATGGGCTGTGAGTCTCATACCTCCTCATAGCTCAATATAACACTATCGTCTGAAAAGACGGAAAAGTGCCAATCAATCTAAATTTATTGATATATATGTTAACTCTTTCTGATATATTATTTACAATTTGTAAATCAATATGTGTGCATTCTGAATTAACGAATGTTTATTTTTAGGAAAACAAGGAAAGTTGACATTATGTGAGCAGTATATGAAACTATCATTTAAGCATCGCCAAGTCATGGCCTTCAATATGTTTTGAATAGCACTTTCCTTTTCGCCAAAGGAATTTTAAAATGTACATTAAAAATGAGTGTTTAGCACACATCATCGTGCAGATTCTGGGCCATATTTTGAGAGGAGAGATATATCTACTATGCTTATAATTAAAAATTGTAAAAGGTGACTAGTTTAGGATTTTCAGAAATCGGATGTGTTGCTCCTTGCTGTAAACCAATATGCCTAAATGCTCAGAAAAAGATAAAGAACACATACGATAATTTGACTCTCACTCCGTGATTTTCAGAACAGGCAAACCGCATTTTTAATAGTAAAATAAATATTCATTTCGAGATTATTGATCACTTCCACTAAATTAAAACACACTTTTGCGATTTATTAATGATTCACAAATTTCTAACTTTTGACACGTCTTTTGAGAGAATTAGAAAGTGCTAATTCAAAAACATTTATTTCGTTACCACTAATGGTTTGTTATTCTTGCCAGTGTATGAAGACTCGTGTGGCATCATGTCTCTAACATAGAAGAAGCAATTAGTGGTGATTTAATCAATTTACTGTAAGGCTATATTAGCCGCAATTTTTTTTTTTTTTAATATAACATCAATTTGTTGTTATCTATGTCTTCCTATATTACAGATCGTGTACTTGTTACTGTTATTCTAATTATTTAAATAGTATATACTCGTATGTTAGTATTCTTATTAAAATATGTATGTATGTATGCTTCTATTACCATTACAACATGTGCCACATCTATAAGTGTAAGCTGCCTCAATGCAGTTTCACAACATCACCAAATTTGAGGTTAATTAATGGTGAACAGCGTATTTTGCAGTAAAATTCTTTTATATTTGTCTTCCCAAGATTTTGTTTCAAAGTACTTCCAACTTATTTTTGCATCCATATTTGTTACTGTTTGAAACACATTCAGCATTATTATTATTATTCGATAATAAATAGTGCTTTTTCTATATGTGTATGTATCTGTCCGTGTGTGTGTTTGTGTGTGTGTGTGTGAGAGAGAGAGAGAGAGAGAGAGAGAGAGAGAGAGAAGAGAGAGAGAGAGAATCTTGTTATATCTGTAGGTGTCAAAGTATCCTTGTGGGATTAAATGTTCTTCTTCTTCTTCTTCTTCTTCTTCACTTCCTCTTTTACCGCTGTGGGTGTCGAGGGAGATATAAGGTTCTGTTTCTAGCTCTTCTGGCTGCCTCGACCATAGGCACATCGTGCTGTTGTAGAGTTTCTCTGATGTTATCCTTCCATCTTGTTCTTGGTCTACCCCGTGCTCTACGTCCTTCTTCTCTTTCCATGTATGCTTTGTATGGTATGGTGTCACAAGGCATTCTCTCTAAGTGGGCAAACCATTTCACTTGCTGTCTTTGTATGATTACTTAGAATGTTACCGTAGACTTATTAAAACTGTACATTACCAAATTAATTTGTTTGGTCATCTGTGAGTCTATATGCCATGCTTTATGTATTATGACGACTTTGATTATTTTGTACTGATGAACTGTCTCATTTGTTTATGCGATTCTCACATTCTGATTTGATTGAGACGAATTAAAACTGCTTTCGACAATATTCTCGATTTTGTTATATATTGTGTTAATAAATGATTGTTTGTGCAGTAGCTTCTGTTTTAAACTGCTAAAGTTTTGTGTTTTTAACGTAAGTTGGGTAGCATCTGCTAGAAAAATAAAATTAAAGTGAAAAAGTGAGTATTTAAGAAGAAAATCCCGTTCAGTCCTAATAAGATTTATGTTTTCTTCACGCTGTTCCCCTCAAAATTTCTATTCTGCAGAAGTTACATCTCAAGGATGTGAATCAAACAGCTACGAATCTGAGGGACCCCGTTCAACCGTTAAGCTTCTTCGCTGCTCGAAGTCTTGATAAACTGATATGAAGGCATGCAAAACTGCAATGAAATCATTTGACACCGAGCTCAACTGAAAGACAAGCAATATAATAATTAGTTCTGTCAGTCCCTAGAGAAGTTACTTTAAATCGTGATATCCTTTATAGTTGAACTTGTAACTAATAAATGTTTAAGTCGGTGGGAGGAAAGGTTAAATAGTGACTAACTGAGCTGTAGGCAGAAACGGTGATACAGAGGAAACATATGAATTTTTTTGGGGGGGGAGGGGGGGTGGGTGGGGTCTCTATGGGCCTAACTCTTTACTTAACTGCTGGTATTATTAACAGTAGTAGTAATAATGGGGCGTCGCAGGTCGACCCAGTCTATAATCGGTACCAGGATGTATGTTCTGGGGAAGTAAAGACGGCCGGCAGAATGCTGACCACATTACCCACCTAGTGCCAATTGGTGTTTAAAAATATGGGTACTCTTTTCATATGCCCGATGCGCCTAAAAGGCGTGAAAGGGGATCTTTACTTTAGTAGTAATAATAATGATAGTGTTCTGAATAGTGTATAA